TCCTGCTGGAGTTTAAAAGTAGCCACAAACTGTATTCACACAAAAAGTGGGGGCCAGATTAGGATTGCTGACTGTAGTTTGCGAGCCCATGCTATGCAACAAACCAGTTTGTGATAAACAACAGAATAGATAAAATCTAGTGTGTGTGAGACAGAGATCACTGATTGTTGAGTCAATAACTGTTGAAGTTACAGTAAGTTTTTATTGTATTTGGTCTAGTACTTACAAGAGGGTATAGATTGAGCACATTGATTAAGTCCAGGCATTAGTATTATTTTCAGGTTATCTAAGTGATTTCAAGGTGCAGCCATATTTGCCAACCAGGGTGCTAAAGAGTGCTTCTCAAATTCCAGTGTGTAAACTGATCACCCAGAGTCTTCTTAAAATGTAGATGCTCATTCCATAGCCCTGGGGTGTGGCTTGAAATTTTTCATTGCTAGCAAGTTCTCAGTTTAGATTGATACTGCTGGTCACAGACCACACTTTGAGCAGCCAGATGCTAGTGCTGGTTTTCAATGCCTGGCATGCCCATGCCCTGCCCCAGAGGCTTATGTATTTGGTCTGGGGTGCCGCCTGGACATTGAGATTTTCAAAACCTCTGCTGGTGATTTGAATGTGCAGCAAAGCTTGAGAGCCTCTATGCCAAAGCTCATGATGATATGTCGATTTTAGTTATGTTATCAGTGGCCCTAATGTGTTCCCTTTTTCTCATTCTCCCTCGCAGCCATTCCTCTCCTTTCCAGCTCCAAACATCCAGACGAAGGTGGGGATCAGGGTGAGCACTTCATCCTGTTGCTGTTGTCCACCTCTGAAGAGTGGGAGAAGGTTCAGGATGGAAACAGGAGACTCAGGCAACCTGGGTTTGGGAAGAACAAGCACAGCGTTCTAGGAGTGAATTCAAGGCAAAGCTGGTTGAAATAGAATGGGTGGGGGCGGGGAATAGCTCAGAAATTTATCACAGCACAACCTGCCTCCTGTCTTGGGCCTGAGGTATGTGTGGGGTGGGGGCAGGGAGCGAAAACAACCATGTACCCTCCTGAGTCCTGGAGACACCTGACAACCAAACCAGCTTATAAGGGTTTTTCCTTCTCAGTGCACAGGGCGACTTGGTTACTAGACATGCAAGAGAGACCCCCAGTCGCAAAGTGTAGAAGTGAAGTATTTTCCCAAATCATAAAGACCTCGAAGGGCCTGGCGCGGTGGCTCAAGCCTGTAATCCCAGCACTTTGGGAGTGGGAGACGGGCGGATCACGAGGTCAGGAGATCGAGACCATCCTGGCGAACACGGTGAAACCCCATCTCTACTAAAAAATACAAAAAACTAGCCGGGCGAGATGGCGGGCGCCTGAAGTCCCAGCTACTTGGGAGGCTGAGGCAGGAGAATGGCGTAAACCCGGGAGGCGGAGCTTGAAGTGAGCTGAGATCCGGCCACTGCACTCCAGCCTGGGCGATAGAGCGAGACTCCGTCTCAAAAAAAAAAAAAAAAAAAAAAGACCACGAAGAAACATAAGGGTAAAGGATGATGGCTTCCAGCCCATTATCTTTATCAAACTAATGTAGGGACAGAAAATCAAATACCACATGTTCTCACTTACAAGGGGGAGCTAAATGATGAGAACACGTGGACTCAAAGAAGGGAATAACAGACACTGGGACCTACCTGAGGGTGGAGGGTGGGAAGAGGTAGAGCAACAAAAAAAAACTAATTGGGTACACGGCTTAGCACCTGGGTGATGAAATAATCTATACAACAACCCTCCATGACAGCAGTTTACCTGTATAAAAACCTGCACTTGTTCTCTTGAACGTAAATAAAAATTAAAAGAGTAGAAGATGATAATGGTGATAAATCATGGGTACCACATAGTGAACATACACTGTGCCAGGCATTGCTCTAAGTGATTTACATATATTAACTCATTTAATCTCAACAACCCAATGGGGTTGATGGTTTTATTATCCCTATGTGGAGAAACTGAGGCACAGAAAAGTTAAACAACTTACCCAAGTTTACCCAAAATGAGTGGCTAAGATGGGATTTGAACTCAGGCAATCTGAGGTTAAGAAAACACTACACCAAATTTTCTCTCCAGAACAGAAAATTAAGAAGTCCCCTCAGTCAACTAAAAGTTTGAAACACTCAAAAATTAATGCTTGCTCTGTTCTTTCTCATATCCACAGGAGAACAGTCAAGAGACTGTTTCAATAGGTTATAGCTGGGACAAAGTCAGAGAATTCAGAAGTCCTTACAGTAGGCAGCGAAAGAGATGCAACGAGAAGACCAAGTTTGACAAAGATGCATAAAAAGGCAATAGCATTTTCTGTAAACTGAACTCAAAGGGCCAGAATCCTAATTTTTAAGAAAAGTGTTAAAGTACGCTCATATGGAAATGTGGAAGACAATTATTGCACAGCTAAATTTGTTCATATCTTAATAAATGCTTATATGGTTTGACTGCATCCCCACCCAAATCTCATCTTGAATTGTACTCTCATAATTCCCATGTTTTGTGGGAGGGACCCATTGGGAGATAATTGAATCATGGGGGCACTTTCTCCCATACTGTCCTGTTGGTAGTGAATAAGTCTCATGAGATCTGATGGTTTGATAAGGGGAAACCCATTGGCTCCCATTCTCTTCTCTTGTCTGCTGCCATGTGAAACATGACTTTCACCTTCCACCATGATTGTGAGGCTTCCCCAGCCACGTGGAACTGTAAGTTCAATAAACCTCTTTCTTTTGTAAACTGCCCAATCTTTGGTATGTCTTTATCAGCAGCGTGAAAAACAGACTAATACAATGCTCAAAACAATCTGCTAGCTTTAAAATGATGCAAGCTACACATGTGTCTTTGACTAAAGCATAGAGTCTGTAAATTTTTGCCTTTTACCTTTGTAACCCACAGAAGAAAGAAGACTTTTTTGTTTCTTGTTTCTTTGTAACTTTCTTTGTGGCACAGAAAATAGATGTTTTAAGTATTTTTCAACAGAGATGGGCAACATTAGGGTTTACATGGGTGGAGGTATCCTTTGGTCAAATAGAGAGTGGACTGAGAGAGAAGAGTTTTTAAAGGGGAACGAGAAAAAAAAAACATAGAGAAACAGGTGTATCATTTCCATATAGAATCTTCTTTATACTAGGAAATAATATCTTTCTATCCAGAGACATGAAGAAAATGTAAAAGGCGAACTTTTCTCTCCATCTTGAAAGGAGAATTCAGAGGCCACACTGAGCTTCTCAGGAACAGGAGGATTTTGAGGTAAGCTTGGGGCAGACATTGGGAATAAGATAATAAACATGAGGCAGACAACGGTCAAGGTGGGACCAGAAATTCTCTGGGTGTTCAAACACCTCAACCATCCTCTAAATGTTAGTTGCTCTGCACTTTGGACTGGATTCGTCATACTCTCCCTTATGCTCTCTTTCTGGTGAGCTCATCCAATCACATGACTTCATTACCGTCTATAAAAAGTCCCCCATATGCCTACTTCCAATCATGACATTTTTGCAGCTCCATGATTCACATTTCCCCTAGGATGGCTAATAAAAATCTGATTTTACATGGCATGCATTCCCCGCTCCTCCACCCCAGGGACCCCTGCAACCATCCCCAGGGAGATAATAACACCATCATCAATCCAAGTGTTCAGGTCCAAACTTCAGAACCTACATTATGTTCCCCCTCTCCCATTCCTCACCTCCTGTCCATGAGTAAAGTTTGTCTCTCCCTGTCAAAAACCCATATGGAACTTGTCGACCTCTCTTCATTTCCTCAGCCACCATCACAGCTCAAGCTGCACTAGTCTCCTACCTGGATCAGCTACACTGGCTCTACCCGGTCTGCACCTTCAACTCTCTGCCACCCCTCTACATTCTTCAAAGCAGACAGTCACTGCCTTGACATTTTGGGGGCATTTATTCTACTTTATATTCAATATCACAAATTTGACCTTCAGCTTTGACCTTATGTTTTTCAGTCCTTTTGAGTTGTTTATTTATCAACTAGCTTTAATGGAAGAAATGGTACAATTGAAGGAAAAACCATGAATGGAGAATTCGTAAGGGCAATATACAGGAAATCACTCCCTATCTGTGGGGAAGGCAGCCTAAGGCTCAGTCCCATTATCTGTATCACTCAGGGTGAGCTTGCCAAAGAGGTACTCTGCGATACCGTCCACCCGAGCCCCCATCTTGAAGCCCAGAAGCAAGAATCCTTAACACTTGCATATTTTGTTTTTTGTTTGTTTGTTTGTTTTTTGAGATGGAGTTTTGCTCTTGTTGCCCAGGCTAGAGTGCAATGGCGGGATCTCGGCTCACCACAACCTCCATGTCCCAGGTTCACACAATTCTCCTGCCTCAGTCTCCCCAGTAGCTGGGATTACAGGCATTCACCACCATGCCTGGCTAATTTTGTATGTTTGGTAGAGACGGGGTTTCTCCATGTTGGTCAGGCTGGTCTCAAACTCCTGACCTCAGGTGATTCGCCCCCCTCAGCCTCCCAAGTGCTGGAATTACATGCCTGAGCCACCCACCCAGTGACGCATACTTTAAAAAGAAAATTTTTCATGTCAAGTTAAAGACTATATTATTTTAATCCCTGCCCAATCACATTTCCTACCCTTCTTCTCCAGAGGCAACCACTAGGATGAATTCCACACCATGCTTTACACCTTACCATGCATACGCACCCACAGACACCATGGCCCAATACTGCACACCCCACCCGACCCCACCCACCCCACCCATCTCACCCCATCCCACCCCAACTCACCTCACCCTATCCCACATGCCCTCAGAGTTTATAAGGGGAAGACTAATGTGTTTTCCAGGAACCCATAGAATACCTTTTCCCTCCACCCCCGCAGATCCTGAGCTGCATGCAGATGGGGCAGAGCTGAGTGGAGAGACTGCTGGATACCTACTTTAAACCTGCATGGAGATGTGCCCTGATTCCTAAAAGGTGCGAGTGTTGCAGACACGCGTCAGCTGGACACCTTTATTGCTTTGAGAAGACATAACTTTATTGCCAACAACGGTAAAACTGAGAGGAGAAAACTGAAGAGAACCTTCTGAAAGGGCAACATGGACGCCCCGCCTGGTGGCCGTACCCGGGGAAGGCACCCCGTGGCTGCGGGGCCCCTCTGGGCTCAAGTGTCTTTCTCGCTGCGGCCCAGGGTGAGCTTGTCAAAGAGGTACTCTGCCAGGCCTGCTGCCGGAGGGGCCCCCATCTTGCGCAGGTTGCTCAGGTAGCCACCCAGCTCTTTGATGGTCTTGGCCTGCTGGTTCAGGAAGTGGTTCTCCAGGAAGTCGCGGAGCTGGGGGTCGCCGTTCTGCTTGGCCAGCTGGTGCAGCTCCAGGAGACTCTTGTTGACTTTCTTCTCCAGGTCGAAGGCACACTCCATGGCCTTGAGCCCGCCCTCCCAACCTTGGCGCTCTGGCTTCCTGATGTCGCTAAGGCAGATGCGGCCACCGCGCAGGTTCTGCAGCCTCATCAGCTCCTGGGCGTGCTCCCTCTTCTTGTGCCACTGGCGCAGGAAATAGCAGCTGAAGCTCTCCAGGGCCACGTCGTCCCGGTCGAAGTAGAAGGCCATGGATAGGTACACATAGGAGGCGTAGAGCTCCAGATTGACGTTGACGTTGACGGCGACCTCGCAGCTGGGGTGGTAGTTCTGGCGCACCTGCGACAGCGGGCCCAGGGCAGGCAGCGCGGGCGCGGGGAGCAGGCGGGGTAAAGCGGTGTGGTCGCGAGGGTCCCGGAGCGGGCAGCGGCATCGGCATCGGCTGTGGCGGCCACGGCGGAGGCCTCGGAGCACCACCATGGTGGGCGAGTGCGGCGACCAGCGGAGGGCGGGGTCCTCCGGGCGGGGTGGTGGTTGTCGCAGGGTCTGCGAAGGGACCGGAAGTGGGCTGTGGGGACCGTTATGAGGGGAGGGGCGCGCCCGGTCCGGCGGGTGGTGCTGGTGGCGAGGGTGAGCGCAATGAGTTCCGAGGGCAGGCTGGGGAACTAGGCACTCTCAGTCCTCTGCGCGACGTCAAGACTGCAGAAACTTTTGTAGTGTCCAAGGACTTTCGCCTGTCCCCTGATTATTCCCCTCTATGACAGCTTGTTCTCATTTTATAAACCTCTTGTCTTTCTTAAACTCTGAGAGTATGTTCTGGTAACGTTTTCTTCTGTTTCCTGTATTATATCCTTTTTTCCTTCCTCCAGAATTAGTTCTCTTTTTGCATCTTCCTCACTTTTCTTAAAGAGCTGGAAAACGTTTGTCCATTCACGATTGGAATCAAGGACTAGGTCAGCCTCGGTGATGAGCATGGATCTAATGCACAGCGGTGAGTCTGGATGACCAATAGAATTCTCCCATGAACAGGAGGGTGGAGTGTGTGTCAATTAGGGAGTGGTCATCTCCTTTGGAGATAAAGGTATAGAGCTCCTAGGCAGAGTAGGAACTATTCCAAATGTCCAAAGCATGGCATTTCTCTGGCATTGGAAGACTTTAGTGGATCTGTCTTCTAGGTAGATGTCAGCTTCCCTTTAAATGTTCATCCATGTCTGCTGCACCCTGAAGCTCAATTCTCTCTGCAGGAGAGATGGCTCCACATTATAGCGAATGTGATTTCAGATATGTTTTGAGGATCAAAGCTTAAACACCAAAGACTCCGTTTTTAAAATTTACTTCGAAAAGTCCTCTATGTTCACGGTTTTAGGTACTCAATAACTAATCCCCATGTCTTCCCTGCTGAATTTAAAACCAATTAGTTCTTCAGCTCACTAAAGAACAAGCTTAGGTCTGTAGCAAAATGAACTTGCTAGTACTTTTCAAATCTTCCAATTAGAGAAACTCACTGTGGCAGAATGACTTCATCAAAGCTTATTTGTTTTCATCTTGGTCCACAAGTAACCATATTTTTCAAGCTACTCTTGTGATTTCATGGGGTCATGTACTGATTTCTGGCTATTGAAATATGAAAATAACTGACGTATGGCTAAATAAGGCCTAGTTTATAGGACACACCCTGTGCAATCCATGTCTTGTGTGAAGAGGAGGAACAGACCCTACAATATGACATACCCAATTTGGAGAAGGAGCCTGGAACTTTGAATAACATATGGAGAATGTCCCCTCATCACTGTCACCACCAACCTGCACAGGACCTTGATAAAAATGGAAAAATTAAAATCTATTTTAAAACCTAGAGATTTGGAACATTTGTTACAGGAGCTAGCCTTTCCTCACAAATCAAATGAGCTAGTCAAAGAAGGTACTGGATAACCACAGGCTGTACCCACAGGGTCTTGTAGGCTTATGGCACTGGAGTGCATTCCAGAACACACCCTCTCAGTGGGAAGGCAGATGAAGAAAACGAGAGGTTGAGATAGCTCTGGGTCATCATACTTTCTTCCTTTTGCTTACTGCACCAAATACACACACACACACACACACACACACACACATACATATATATCTCAATCCTTCTCCCTTTTTTCGTTCTGGAGAATGAAATTTAAAATCCCTCATTGGCCAGGCGTGGCAGCTTACCTCTGTAATCTCAGCACTTTGGGAGGCTAAGGCAGGCAGATTGCTGGAACCCAGGAGTTCAAGTTCATCCTGGGCAACATAGCAAAACCCACTCTCTACAAAAAAAAAAAAAAAAAAAAAAAAAAATTAGGCATGTGGCACACACCTGTAGTCCCAGATACTCAGGAAACTGAGGTGGGAGAATGGCCTGAGCCCAGGAAGTCGAGTCTGCAGTAAGCCGTGATCCCACCACTGCATTCCCGTCTGGGTGACAGGAGTGAGAGACTTGGTCTTCAAAAGGAAAATAAAAAAGAAAAATCTCTTATGGACTCTTGAGGGTCAAGGAAAAAGGTTTTCCTTCTGTCTCGATGTCTGGAATAAAATCAGGCTGGTCCTTGGGTACCTAACCTTAAGCCAGGAACACAAAGCACAGGGGCAGAGATCACGACTCTCTGATCCCAGAACCAGTCAGCTGTGGTGAGGAAGGTGGGACATGTAATGATATAAAGCACTCCTGGAACCACATACCTGGAATCTGTGTTTGGGTGGAGCAGTTCCCCAGAAAAGGGGAATGCTAGTTCCAGGACTGGTAGTGGGAGACTAAGCAGGTGGTACCACAGATAGTACCATTCAGTCCTCCCTACTGAGCCATGAGGTCTGCAGAGTTAGGAGGTTCCCACGTCTCTCTGTGTCTCCCACACTGCACACCACGCCGGCGCTTAGCACATTCTTCTCCTTTGGAAAGGAGTATAGTGAGGAAGAAGCAACAAAAATGGGCTAGGAAAGCAAAGGAACAAATTGTTGGAGGTATCTGTGGGAGTGGAAGTAGCGTCAGCTCCCAACTACAAATGTGAAATGCCTTTGGGCAGCATGCTGCCTCAATGCTGTGTGTGAGGCCCAGGGTTCAGGAGCATGGCCACAGTGAGCACTGGTTTAAAAAGGGGGCAAGGAAGCCAGTCTCAGCTCTGTCACCAGAGAAGATGATTTAATGAGTCCGTACCAGACTAGATGATTTCCTACATTCTTGGGAATCCTCACAATTTTGTGAGGTAGGAATTTTTTTGTTATTGCACCCATGAGGAATCTGTGATCCTAAATATAAAGCACTTACCCAAGATGATACAGAAACAGAATTCAATGTCAGGGCTGATGCTCAACTAGAACTGTGGGACCACGGTCAAGTTTCCAATGAAATGCTATATAATTAGGTTGCTGGGTCATATAGTTTCTCATGGCCTCTCTCTGCTTTTAGTGAGAACAAAGATATATACAGGGAACTAGTCAGTACCTGCTGTGATTCACAGCAGCACAAACTACCACCCTCTCTCACCAAGTGTTCCTGGGACAGCCCTTTCCTCTGGCAAGGTCAAGTTTCTCCTACACAACTTCAGAGAACAAACACTCCTTGTTCAACTTCTACTGGGAAATGAGTTTAAGTAAATTGTTTTTAAAAATGTGAGGCTATAGTATGAGATAGAACAAAGCTTTTCCTCAGGAGGCTGCTAAGCCCCTCTTCATGGATGGGATGAGGAGTTTAGACTTTTTATCACTCCTCTGATGTGCTGACCCCTACTTTAAGATTGTGATTAATTTAAATACTGTGTGTCTGCATTTTAGGTGGCATTTCTTTATAAAGTGTTGGTCCCCCATCCTTGTACAATGGGGATAATCAGCATTTAACTATAAGAGTACAGCTGATGCTTGGATTGCCTTTCCTGGTAGGATTAAAATACATTTTATTTAGCACCCCACTCCTTCTCCAACTCTTGTTCCTTGGTCAATTTTCTGAATAACTGGTGCTATCTGTGTCTGATTATTTCTAACTTGACTGTAATTATGTGACTTCTCATGAAGATGTTCTTCCTTCCTCCATCTCTTAACAATTTGCTGCACAGAAATCCCAAATAATTGTTTACTGGTTACAGACACCTCTTTGGCTTATGTAGACCAGCAATTCTCAAACGCGATCCATAAGTCTCTCCACTGAATTTTTTAGTCTGTTGGTGCAAGGTGGGGGTGATATGAAAGACAATTTTCAGGGTCCATATTCTGCATTTAATGTTCAACAAGAGAATCAGCTTCATTTCTTCCAGAAACTAGCACACAGAGCAATGGGAATCATCACTGATCCTAAATGCTCTCCTGATAGTTATTTTATTATTGAGTCCGTGTGCTTCAAAACTCAAATGCTTTCATTGCATGTTTTATTCTAGAAGGAGTTCAAAAGGATGACTCTGTCACTCGTGGTAGGAGACAGTGACTCTTTCATGGAGCATTCTAGTCTAGCAGTGGCCCTCGTGCCTCTTTACTGCTTGTCAAATCACCCATTTTATCCAATGAAGAGTGTGGAAGAGGAATGATACGGTTTGACTGTATGTCCCCACCCAAATCTAATCTCAAATTGTAATCCTCACCTGTTGAGGGAGGGACATGGTGGGAGTGATTGGATCATGGGAGCAGTTTCCCCCATTCTGTTCTCGTGATAGTGAGGGAGTTCTCACAAGATCTGATGGGTTTAAAAGTGACAATTTCCCTTGCACTTTCTCTCTCTCCTGCTGCATGTAAGACATGCCTTGTTTCCCCTTTGGCTTCCGCTACGATTGTGTTTCCTGAGGCTTCCCCAGCCATGCAGAACGGTGAGTCAATTAAACCTCTTTTGTTTATAAATTACTCATTCTCAGGTAGAATCTTTATAGCACTGTGAGAATGGACTAATATAGATTACATGTACTGGCAGAATGGGATACTGCTATAAAGATATCCTGAAAACATGGAAGCAACTTTGGAACTGGGTAACAGGCAGAGGTTGGAACAGTTTGGTGGGCTCAGAAGAAGACAAGAAAATGTTGGAAAGTTTGGAACTGCCTAGAGACTTGTTGAATGGTCTTGATCAAAATGCTGATAGTGATATGGATAATGAAGTCCAGACTGAGATAGAATAGAAAAACCCATTTTCTGAGGAGAAATTCAAGCTGGCTGCACAAATTTGCAAACACAACAAGGAGCCACGTGTTAATAGCCAAGACAATGGGGAAAATGTCTCCAGTGCATGTCAGAGATCTTCACAACAGCCCCGCCCATCATAGGCCCAGAGGTCTAAGAAGGAACACTGGTTTCATGAGCTGGGCCTAGGGCCATGCTGCTCTGTGCAGTCTCAGGGCATGGTGCCCTTCATTCCAGCTGATCCAGCTCCAGCTTCAGTTAAAAGGGGCCCAGGTACAGCTCAGGCAGTTGCTTCAGATGGTGCAAGCCCCAAGCCTTGGCGGCTTCCACATGGTGTTGGGCCTGCAGGAGCACAGAAG